AAATTGGTCTCAGGCAAGGGGCCAGACTAAGATTGGGTCCAAGACCTCATGAAAGACTAACTAAGAAGTGAGGATACCCGGCCCAGAGGAAGCCCGGGGTCCCCTTCTGGAGCCAGGCCCAGAAAGAGGACTCTTCGGCGAGCATCTGGTTGCCGGGCTTGCCACGGAGCCCGGCCGGGCACAGCCCGAAAAGGCAACGTGGGCAACACCTCCGCTTCTCCGTCCCACGGGCCCACCACCTACGGGAAACAGCAATGGGGTCAGGTGCGCTGCCAGAAGGGTGGCAGTGAAAGCGGAGGGTCTCGACGGACCCGGGTGACAGAAGCTGGCTTTGGGGACGTGGAAAGTCACCTCTCTGGGGGGGAAGGAGCCGGAGCTTGTGCGGGAGGTGGAGCGTTACCAGTTGGATCTGGTTGGGCTCACCTCTACGCACAGACCTGGTAAGGCCAAACATGTAGTTCGGGTGAACTGGGAACGTCTGGAGGAGACCCAAGTTCAGCAGGCCTTCAACTCCCACCTTCGGCAGAGCTTTTCGGGCATCCCTGTGGAGGCTGGGGACATTGAACCAGAGTGGGCGGTATTCAAAGCCTCTATTGCCGAAGCCGTGGCGGGGAGTCCCTTCAGGGATTTGTTATCCCGGGGGACTCCCGAGGCAGTTGCAAGGTACGACAGGCCCAAAGGGCAGCAGCCTCGGTCGTGGCCGAGGCAAAGCAGGGGGTGTGGGAGAAGTTCGGAGAAGACATGGAAAAGGACTTTCGGGCAGCACCGAAGTTGTTCTGGAAAACTGTCCGACACCTCAGGAGGGGGAAGCAGGGAACCATCCAAGCTATGTTCAGTAAGGATGGGACGCTGTTGACCTCAACTGATGGAGTGTTAGGGCGTTGGAAGAAACACTTTGAGGAACTCTTGAACCCGACAACTCCGCCCTCTATGGTAGAGGCAGAGCTGGAGTATGACGGGGGATCAACACCGATCTCCCGGGGGGAGGTCACTGAGGTAGCCAAACAACTCCACAGTGGCAAAGCCCCGGGGGTGGATGAGATCCGCCCAAAAATGCTGAAGGCTCTGGGTGTTGAGGGACTGTCATGGTTGACACGTCTCATCAACGTTGCATGGAAGTCGGAAACAGTACCGAAGGAGTGGCAGACCGGGGTGGTGGTTCCCCTTTTCAAAAAGGGGGATCAGAGGGTGTGTGCCAATTATAGAGGCATCACAGTACTCAGCCTCCCCGGGAAAGTTTACTCTAAGGTACTCGAAAGGAGGGTCAGGCCGATTGTCGAACCTCAGATTGAGGAGGAACCATGCGGATTCCTTCCTGGTCGTGGAACGACGGATCAGCTTTTTATTCTCGCAAGGATCCTGGAGGGGGCTGGGAGTACGTTTATCCGGTCTACATGTGTTTTGTAGACTTGGAGAAGGCGTATGACCGAGTTCCCAGGGAGTTACTGTGGGAGGTGCTGCGGGAGTATGGGGTGAGGGGGTCTCTACTCAGGGCCATCCAATCTCTGTACTCCCAAAGCGAGAGCTGTGTCCGGGTCCTCTGCAGTAAGTCGGACCCATTTCCAGTGAGGGTTGGCCTCCGCCAGAGCTGCGCTTTGTCACCAATCCTGTTTGTAATATACATGGATCGGATTTCGAGGCGTAGTCGTGGGGGAGGGGGTCTGCAGTTCGGTGGACTAAGGATTGCACCACTGCTTTTTGCAGATGATGTGGTTCTGATGGCTTCACCGGTCTGCGACCTTCAGCACTCACTGGATCGGTTTACAACCGAGTGTGAAGCGGCTGGGATGAGGATCAGCACCTCCAAATCTGAGGCCATGGTTCTCAGCAGGAAACCGATGGACTGTCCACTTCAAGTAGGGAATGAGTCCTTACCCCAAGTGAAGGAGTTCAAGTATCTCGGGGTCTTGTTCTCGAGTGAGGGAACAATGGAGCGTGAGATGGGCCGGAGAATCGGAGCAGCGGGAGCGGTACTGCAGTCGCTTTACCGCACCGTTGTGACGAAAAGAGAGCTGAGCCAGAAGGCAAAGCTCTCTGTTTTCTGGGCCATTTTCATTCCTACCCTCACCTATGGTCATGAAGGATGGGTCATGACCGAAAGGCAGAGATGGGTTTTCTCTGCAGGGTGGCTGGCATCTCTTAAGGTAGGGACACACCAAGATGACACCAAAGAACTGACACAGACGGACCCGACTGTTGTGTCGCCTCACGTCTCCTGCGTCTTGGCCAACAGTCGCACTGGAACACACCGCAAAGACATCAGCCGACGGCCAAGTAGCATGTACGAACTGCGCATGCGTGAGTGGCAATAACTCTCCTTACCAGCAGGCGGCGGTAGTGTGTATTCGTCATTCAAAAGAGGCAACAACCGGAAGACAGACTGCGTGATAACCGAGAGAAGAAGAACAGACTGCTTGATATAAACAAACAAAAAATAGCGTGTGCGTTCCATTTTCACTCTACAACGAGAAGCTCATGGGGTTTTCCTGAACCTGTGTCGAGAGCTGGAGTTAAATTAAATCTCAGATTTGCCTTCTTAATAGTTTGTTTGGGTCTCTCACTTCCGATTAGCTTCTCATGCACTGATTCGCTAGCTGAACAGCCAAGAGTGATTTATTTGACCGACAGCCTATGGCCGATTGCCTACCGATTCGATATGTGGAATCGGTAGGTTTTCGGCCAAAAAGTTGTCGGCACGATCGAAAAGACCCAACGGTGTGGGACACACCAATCTGAGTAGGGCGACAGGACGCTCATCACAGAGTGACTGACTCCGCCACTGACAGCCGACACACACACACACACCAAACATTTCCTGCTCTCTTCCGTCAAATGAACCATATAATTTCTTATTTATGTTTACTTTTGTTAATTATGGGGAATGATTGTGTTAAGAGGTGGTTAACCTGTTTATGTTTGGGTCGGATTTTTATGTTGAAATGTGGTTTTGAGTTGATTGTGTCACCTGTTGACGGTGAGCCTGTGGGAGGGGCCATGGGTTCAAAAGGGACGGTGTTGGTTCCTTGTTGGTTTTTTGGACTGTGTCACTCTGAAGAATGTTGCAGTGAAGGCAACAGCTGGGACGTGTTCGGGGGTTTGTTGCAGAGAAGGCAACAGCCAGAACACGTTTACTCTGAATGAGTGATGGACGGCCTGTTTTTGTCTTTTATTTTGTATGGTTAAGGTATGCTGGTTCGTATATTTTTTGTTTCTGATATAAATAAAGTTTTTTTGGACCTTAAACAACCGACTAAGCCATGTATCGAATGGACGAATTGAACCCCGTCACATCCATCGACGGCCAAAATCGGCTTGGTGTGTCCGGGGCTTTAGGGATAAGGTGAGAAGTTCGGTCATCAGGGAGGGACTCGGAGTTGAACCGCTCCTCCTTCGCGTCGAAAGGAGCCAGTTGAGGTGGTTCGGGCACCTAGTTAGGATGCCACCTGGGCGCCTCCCTAGGGAGGTGTTCCAGGCACGTCCAGCTGGGAAGAGACCAAGGGGTAGACCTAGGACCAGGTGGAGGGATTATATATCTTCGCTGGCCTGGGAGCGCCTTGGGATCCCCCAGTCAGAGCTGGTTGATGTGGCCAGGGAAAAGAAAGTTTGGGGCTCTCTGCTGGAACTGCTACCCCCGCGACCCGACCACGAATAAGCGGGAGAAGATAGATGGATGGATAATTTTGTCAAAGCATGTGTAGATTTATTTATTTATCTATTCCACTGCTTATCAAGGGGACTCTGGTGAGTGCAGAGAAAACACAGCGAATGAAAGAAAAATTGAATGTGTGACTGAAAATGATTGGCAATATGTAATATTACTCTTGTACAGTACTTATATCAAATTGACTTAATTCTGTTAGCCACGCGTGTGTTCACTGTGCACTGTGCACTGACTCCGGCTCTGTTGGGAGGGTAGTGAAGTGGAACAGTAGTGATGTCAATTCCAGTCAGTGAGCATTGTGAGGAGATATGCTCACTTCTCTTCACAGTGCATTCTGGGAATTTTTCTAGGGAGCTGAACATGGAGCGAGCATCAGGACTCTTGGTTCATTACCAAGGTACCAGTTGGAGTCACCATTCCAAATTATGATAAAAATAAACAAAACACCCTAATTTTCATCAAAGTGTTTCCTGCTCTACAAAACCAAACTCATACGACAACATTTCTGAGTCATGCAAAGCAGTTCCCCTCCCCCACCAAAGCCAGGCTTATCTCCTCTTGTTGTTGTAATTGTCCACAGAGAGCCTCACGTTACAGGTTACAGCAGCATATTGAACTGCTCTTATCAAGGTTTGTTTGATAGCATTGAAGTCAGATAGAAGAGTGAGTCACTGTGGTGATATTAACCAATGAGGTCAGGATTTTTGTATACATTTCAAGAAAAGTGTTGCAGAAAGAGGACGTTTCCGGCACCTTTACTGTAAATACCAGTTTTAATTTGGATTGGGTTCACCCACATGCTTAGAAAGCATCAGGGAAAGCTTCAGGGAATAGATGATGATATGCTCACCTCAGCCGTGACCCTGTGACCAACTGATGCAATACAGCCTCTGTTAGTGTAGTAACGAGTAGAGCCGCTTTATAAATATATGGTCACATGCTCCTGAAAATAGTTTCTCCTGTTGGGTGCAGAGACAATGTGAGCAGATTTATGCTCCTTGGTAGAACAATGCAAAGCTACACTTCTCATATTCACCTATGTATCCTGAATGGATCATTTAACATTCAATGCATGCACTAATTCATGCACCAATTAAAGTACTTTCAGAACATTCACAATTTTAAAAACCTATACTGAGAGCAACAATTAATTCCAATCTCATGTCCTCTTGTAAATATCTGCACATTACCATGTATTTATATTAGTTTTTTTATTAATCTTTGACAATTAGCATCCAATTTGGCTCATCATGTAAATGTGTATTCGGCTATCTGTTGGTTAACTCAGCTTCCATAAAAATATCCCCTGAGTGAAGCGTCTTGTTGTCTGTGTCTGCAGGACTACCGTGTGAACATCTTCCTCCGGCAGCAGTGGAATGACCCCCGGCTCGCCTACGCTGAGTACCCCGATGACTCTCTGGACCTGAACCCCTCTATGTTAGACTCCATATGGAAACCAGACCTGTTCTTTGCCAATGAGAAGGGGGCCCACTTTCACGAAGTCACTACGGATAACAAACTGCTCCGGATATTTAAGAATGGGAATGTTTTGTACTCTATAAGGTAAGTGTACAACCCTGTTGAACTGGTGGGGGGCAGAGGGGCATCATTTTATTCTCTTGAAAATGTTAATTTGAATGCACTGAGAAGCTATATTCATGGCTCAAGGAGCAGTGAGTAATGTGAACACGTGGAAATGCACTTTTCGCAATTGCATGGTGTAGAGTTATATTTGTATTTATTCATGTTAGCAAACTATGGATAAGCTTAAAATGAGAATAATTTGGGTAAAACTGTGAGCTGCATTTGGCCTGTTGACATGTGTTTTTGAGGACAAAGGAAGATGGGGGAAGGGGAGAGCATGTCCTGATTTGCATTCAACTTAGATCTAGCTGCAGTGTTTGTGAGGTTAAGAGAGGTCTCTTGGGTTTCTCTGGTGCTTATCAATAGTAGCAGTTAAGTGAATACTGTTCAAACAATACCTGTGTTTGTGTTTTATATTGATTTCTCTGTTTTATCCTTTCATAAATGTAAGGACTACAAATGGCTATAAACATTCTGGGCTGGTTGGAGTAAACAGGGTTTTATGGCTCTGTGGGGGAGGTGTAGGTATGCAGGCCTTGAGACCTTTTGTTGGAAAGTGAGCCTGTTTGGTTTCCTGCTGCGTTTCCTGCTGCGTTGCGTCTCCCAATGAGATGACCTGAAAAGATGACCAGCTGACCTAACACCAAACCCCTCCTTCTTACTCTGGTATATATCCGGAGGATCCCTGGCGTTCGGCCTCTTCTTCACATGCTGCCCTCGGGTGAAAGTAGCTCATGCAGTATGCGGACTAGAGCAGGAGTAAGCCGGCATTACTCCTTAAGCATTGCAATATAACTGTAATATATCATGTTGTATTGTAATGATTGTATTGCATTGTCATATTGCCATTAAAGTAGATTATTGTTAACGGTTACTTTGTAGATATGGATTCCTTCCTGTATTATAACCAGCTTCATAGGAACGCGCGGAGATTTGAAAAGCGGATCAGATATCCCTTCAAATCCCCAACAAAATGGTGACCCGACGTCTAGAGATAACGAAGCGGAGGAAGAATTCAGACGCTTTCAAACATCTCAGACAATCAGCAGGACTCTGCAACTTTGCAAATAAGGTAAGCAGACGATGAAAGTCGCCTGTCTGTAATTGGATACGCTAAAACTTTAGGATTGTCTGTAGGCGTTTCACAGTGTTTTTATAGTTTAAATGGAATATACAATGCATATTTTACTATGTTAGGAAAGTTATATACAAAACGTAAACGTGGATCGACAGGTAGACGAAAGTCCTGCGTGACGAAAAATAGAGCAGTTTGGCGCGGATCTGCAGGTGTTTATTCCTGAGTGGCGTAGAAATGGTGCAGTTTGTGTGAATGCGAGGTTTGAATCCTGCACGGCAAAACCTGAAAACTCGATAAATCAGATCGAGTCGCCGTTTAAAACTGGGGTTTAAATAACAGACCAATGCTAAAAGCTTAAAGCCAGAGGTCTGTTATATATTAAACCAAGGTAGAGCGTTTCCCTTTGTCTGGAAACTTCTGCTGCTGCCATCTAGTGGCTGAAAGGGGGTATCACACCCTTGAAACTTCTGCTGCTGCCATCTAGTGGCTGAAAGGGGGTATCACACCCTTGAAACTTATGCGAGCTTAGAGTTTGATCATTACATTGCTGGCTGGTATTGTTTGGTAAACTGGTACAAAACAATAAGGGATTGAACATTTTTTACAACGACAGCACCAGGAGATGAGTAAACTCAAGAATCTGTAGAGTGTAAATACATTGTGCAAAACACATTTTACACTCGAACTGTTTGCAAATGTAGACAATATAAATAAATGTTCAGAAAGAAGACATAGGCCTACACTTGATTCAAATTTCATTACTGTGATCCGATTGGTGTGCTCTGCAGGTTTACTATTGTTCGAAGTAACAGTGGGATTTAAAATGAGAGAAGATATGGAGATGTTCTTTCATAGTGTGTGGAATATGTGATGCTGGAAACATGTAAGTATTTCAGAGTTGTGTTGGGTAAATATGTAACAATGGATGAAACAATTTTTGGAGTTAGTTTTTGTAATATCATAAGTAGACATTAATTATGTTGTTTAGATGGCATTTAACAACTAAGACAGATAGTATGATTAGAAAGAGACAGAGTGGAAAGGGTTGGATTTATTTAACATCAGTGTGCTAGACTTCTTATAGGTAATGTGTACCGAGACCTGGACTCCCCCTCTGAGTTAGAAAGGCTTTGATCCCGACCCTCCAAGCAGACAACGAGACCTAACCCAACAGGAGACTCCTCCTTCTCCATCGAACAGACAGAGAACCAGAGCTGAACCAACAACAACAACAAGACTACATCAAGACTGCAGCCAGAACTATCTCCACCTGTGGCATCCAGAACCAAACCAGCATGCTGACATACAGAGAGATACTCTCATCGGTCCCTCAAACAGGACATGAAGTTCCAAACTGCGCCGCGAGATTTGGCACAATAGACATGAGAGCAGAATCCGCCCTCCATAAAAACAGCAGAGAGACTGTAAAGGAGGAGTGCAACAACAGTGGCATGATGGGGCTGCAGATGTGACTGGGCCAATGGCTGCCTACAAAAGTTACAGTGGATGGATTCAACAGCTGATGGACTGAAGAGAAGACAGAATCAGAGGAGTTGGCATGGTCGATTAGAAGTGAGGAGGCCGGGGTGACGGCTTGAGAAAACCAGGGGAGGAGGAAAGGAGAACGGGAATGAGTGAGTTACACATAAACACACTTATTCACGAAACGCACATTTAAATAACTTGAATTAACTTCATAAAGACAGAAAGATTTATTAATCATTTGGTAAATTAAAAATAGCAGTAAAGAGGAAACTATTAAAGTAAAATGATAATCATCCTAAAACACACTGACAGAGTAGAACCATATTCTTCAATATTTTCATCATGTTAACAAATCATTCTTTAAGACATTTTTATTCACGTGTGAATAAAGTAGTGATCTCATTGGTTACAATATTGATCACCATTAAAAGGATAGTTTTAGGAACCACTCTATAGGACAAATCTTTGTTTGTATTAATGGCTAGTGCCAAGCCACATATTAAATTCCAATCTAAAGTGTTGATTTCACCATTGTGGCATAGTTATTACCAGACTTCGGTTTTAAATCCTTGATAAAGGAGGGAGTAATTGTTGCATGTTCGGACACCCAAGGTTCCACACACTGCTAAAGAGTTTAACATCGTTTTTTAAGTAGACCAGAATTATAATGAGCTATGAAATGCAGAGCGACACAGATCCTAGTAATGTTTTGACTCAAGATAATAGTTATTGTACAAAAGTTTCTGAAATAGATCATTAGACATTTTAATTAGTAGTGGTACTCGAAGGAAGTGAGTTTTGTACCAAGTTTCAGGAAAAGTGGGAGGCGGAAGTCCCAATGACAAGTGAGAATCATCTTGAAAATTATAGTTGAAATCGTGACATATTTTTGTAGACAAAGGATACTGGCCTATGCTGAAATGTCAAAGTCTCTGCAGAGCACGACACATGGCCAAAAAAGACGGAGACCAACTGACCTTTGACCCTGACCGACAGTGTAACTTGACAAGGCACTGTGGATGACTGACTCTGGGGTGAACCTGACCAAACTTGACATGACAACCAGACAGTGTGAGTGTGAATGTATGCCGGCATGTGATCAGTGTAACTGCATGATTCTAAAACAATAACTAACCAAGCATGTTTTTGGACTAACATATTATTTTGGAGCTCCAAGGGAAACGAGAGGTTTCCTAAAAATTCCACAAAAAGGGGAAACCGCACATGTGATATTTTACTCTCACATGAGTTGGCGGTTTGCAAATGTAAAACTACAATCTGAAGGACGGAGAGGAACACTTCTTTTCACTGAAGTGTTCACTGTGGAAATAATGATAATAATGTTCGTTATGTCCCTAACCAATTACCTGACAGTTTTTGTTCCCCTCCCATTACAGGCTTTTGTTACACATGATTTCATGTGTAAAAAGGGGGAGTGAGTATAATGTATAAATGTCAACATGGCTGTAAAATTCACAATTTACATTTTTTAAGGATTGAGCATTGAATGTAATTAACCTGCTCCATATCTGGGGATAAGATACTGTTTGATGAATGTTGAGATGTTTCTAAATATTGATTTGAATTATAGCAGGTAACAAAGAAGCAGTGGCCAAGGGGCTACTGTGAAACCGAAGAAGTTGACCTGTGATAATGAGACAATTTTGTAATATTAACAGACATTAGAGTAACTGAGGTTTGAAATATAGAAAGAACATATTACAGTTAAGTTAAGCTAAAACATAGTAATGTAATGAGACAGAATTTAATTTAGACAACATCATGTAACTAGCCTGGTAAAGAAGTAAAAGCCATAGACTTTATTGTTTAGGTCACTATGGGGATATACATTTCATCTAAATTTATAATAGAAAGACATTTGATGACAGGTTGTTGGAATTCTGTATTCATTTTTTCAGCGTGATAATATCTAAGCACTGACAGGTAGAAGCAGTATCACCAGGAAATCATTCACTTTGTTAGCATCGTGATTTTGGTTGTTTTTGAATCCATAACATTAGTGTGTTTCTTTACCAGAAACATTAGCAGTTCATATTATGTTTGGATTTTAAATAGGATTTCATTTAAAAATAAACACGGATGCTTGTCAGAAATTCAGAGCTATTGAAATATGTTATTTAGTTTACCTAAAGATGTTGGGGTTCTTATTTAGTTGGCACAGTCCAAGTATTAAGATTCTGAAGCTGTACTGGCAGATAGGAGGTCTACAATTAATTTGGAAAACCTGTTCACAGACGTCTGTTGTTTCAAGACACCCCACCAAGAGGCTCCAAGTGGGGCAAAACAGCTGAGCGTAGGCTTGAGGGAGTTGTATCAGATTTCTCCACACAGGTCACCGGCGCCAAAAGGGGGACCCGAGAAGCACGAGGACAAAGTGGCTCAACCCCAGGCTCTCCGACCCCGACCGAGTGACCCAGCGGACCTCTTATGCCGTCTGCCTGGGAGAAAAGGGGGGACAGCTCGTACCACGGGAGCCAGTGTGCGGCGGGGAAACCACCTGCTAGGACCAGGGGACGACATCAGGACGGACGTGGCCCTGGCAGACGTGGACTACTCGGAAGCAGCAGACTGGAGGAGCAGGACCCTGGAGACATCCTTACAGCAGACGACCCGGGAGGCATCATCAGCGGGCCGGAGAAGGAGGACCCTGGAGACATCTCTACAGCATCGACCCGGAAGCCGCCATCAGCAGGCCGGAGGACGAGGAGGAGGAAGACATCTCTCTAGCAGGCAGCCCAGAAGCTGCTGTCAGCGGATTTGGGGGGACAAAGACACGGCAAGCCAGGACGGCACAGGGAACTTGTCGAGGCAGCAGAGGAGTCTACTTCGCTCTGATCAGTTCCACCCGTGAAGGGCAAGCTGCATCTCCCCCTCCCTATTAGCTGTTCTTGTGGGCTATTCCTCCGGGGGGGGGGGCTGATGATTCTAGCACTCAGCTACCCCCTCATGGTTCCTTCACTGCCATGGAAAGTGGTGTTCGGTCTCCATGAAGGTTTCAAGTACTCTGAATACCAGCTTCGGATGGATTTACGGACACAGTAGAAAAGAATGACCGTGGGTATATTTCAAAATGCCTTGTCTAAGTTTATCTCTGGAGAAGGAGATAAAAAGGGGGATTTGTAGAGTTATATTTGTATTTATTCATGTTAGCAAACTATGGATAAGCTTAAAATGAGAATAATTTGGGTAAAACTGTGAGCTGCATTTGGCCTGTTGACATGTGTTTTTGAGGACAAAGGAAGATGGGGGAAGGGGAGAGCATGTCCTGATTTGCATTCAACTTAGATCTAGCTGCAGTGTTTGTGAGGTTAAGAGAGGTCTCTTGGGTTTCTCTGGTGCTTATCAATAGTAGCAGTTAAGTGAATACTGTTCAAACAATACCTGTGTTTGTGTTTTATATTGATTTCTCTGTTTTATCCTTTCATAAATGTAAGGACTACAAATGGCTATAAACATTCTGGGCTGGTTGGAGTAAACAGGGTTTTATGGCTCTGTGGGGGAGGTGTAGGTATGCAGGCCTTGAGACCTTTTGTTGGAAAGTGAGCCTGTTTGGTTTCCTGCTGCGTTTCCTGCTGCGTTGCGTCTCCCAATGAGATGACCTGAAAAGATGACCAGCTGACCTAACACCAAACCCCTCCTTCTTACTCTGGTATATATCCGGAGGATCCCTGGCGTTCGGCCTCTTCTTCACATGCTGCCCTCGGGTGAAAGTAGCTCATGCAGTATGCGGACTAGAGCAGGAGTAAGCCGGCATTACTCCTTAAGCATTGCAATATAACTGTAATATATCATGTTGTATTGTAATGATTGTATTGCATTGTCATATTGCCATTAAAGTAGATTATTGTTAACGGTTACTTTGTAGATATGGATTCCTTCCTGTATTATAACCAGCTTCATAGGAACGCGCGGAGATTTGAAAAGCGGATCAGATATCCCTTCAAATCCCCAACAATGGCTAGAGGCACACAGTGCAGTTGCTAACATGATGGGATATGGAGGAATGCATTATCTGTGGAGTGAAGACATCAGAATACTGTTTGATGCTTTGATCAGAAACATTACTGGAGAATGTATTTGTACTTTGTTCAAACACAATATGTTTTGTAATAATACAATATATCCTAAATATTTATTTCATGATATTCAGTGCATGTTCCAACCACATGCTCATAATGTACATTAAACAATAGAACCAACAATAATGTGAAGCAAACGAATCATTAAAGACTGGACTAGACTTTGGAATAAAGTAAGAAATTAATTTTAAAATGATACAAAAACAATCAGATCTTAATAAACATGTCAATAAGAAGCCCTGAAATTATTTGTTTGTAAAAAGCTTCAAAGATATCCAACTTAATGCTGCATTAATACAAAGTATAATAACATGTGCGGTACATTTATGGACGACCTCAAACCCTGTCACTGTCTATGACTCAAGTGTTCTCTCCTCTCCCTTTGCTTTCAGACTCACATTAACTCTGTCATGCCCCATGGATCTGAAGAACTTCCCTATGGATGTTCAGACCTGCATCATGCAGCTGGAGAGCTGTAAGTGCAGTAAAACTACCACAGATGTAATTGTGAGGTCCCTTATCAGCATGACCAGCCCTTTTCTCCAACCCTTGTTTCAAAATATGACCTTTCTACTATTTCTCCTTCTTTAAAATGTGTAACACTACTGTTGTGAAACAAATTAGTCAGTAATTGGCACACAGAGGTGTAGTGGTAAATACACACAGGTAAACGGCGTATACACATTACTTGGTACTGGGATTTATTGTACTTAACTTAAAAATACCCACAGATGTCAGATATCAGTGGTACTGCAGAATCTACTGTATACTGTACACTGTATCTATATTACCATGTTTCATAATGTGTTGTGTTTACTGTGCACAAGCTTTGTTCCCTGACTTTAAGGCAGAGCCTCCTTACAGCAACATAGCCCAGTAACACAGCACCAGCCATGTGTGAAGGACAAACTCAAAAACAATGGTCCTTTCCCTCATTCAATGGAATGATGAGCCCGTTAGAACTTTAGTAGCTGGCTAATCTGGCACACACACAGCAACATCTGAAGCAAACAGCTATGAAGCCCATCTGAACGCTCTGATCCAGAACAAGGGTCTCTGTTCTCACTCGCTGTTACTTTCTTTATTCTTCACCATTGCCTCCTCCTCTGGTTTGTTATTCATGGGATCATAGTGGAGTCTTAACCACTCGATGACGCATATGCAGTCTATATGGGTTTGATGACAGGAGCTTCTATCTGTGAGTAGCAGGCATGATTGAATTGCTTTAAAAATAAAGTTTCTCACATCAATTTCCTACGAATCAACAATGTCAATCACACATTGTTGATTGATAACTTCTCATCACTCAGCCTGTGCTCCAGCACTCCTGCTTCACTTTATAATTCATCTTAGTTGCGATGGCTTCTTCTGTTCCTGCCGTCAGAATCTCCTCCTCACTGATGTGTCTGCTGGGATCTGTCTCTTAGCCCACAGTCCCTGTGGGTAAAGATCAGCAAGCTAAAGCCACAGAGACAGATGTGTGCCTCATTTTATTTTGCTGTGTACCTCACGTCCACAATGTATTCATCCATACATCTTATTCGATTAGTATCCTCCTCTTCCCCCTCGTGGATACAGTATTAAAGTAGACACATTGCTGTCTCTTTTGAAAGAAACACAAAGTCATGTTTAATAATGTTGATAGGGTTATGATGACTAATTCATCCTTGGTCCCATCAGGAGCGTAGCGTGGCCCCAGGGGACACATTATTTGTCTTCATTGGTGGTTTATTCTGTTCCGGCCCACTGGCCACAGGCATTCCCGTACAGAGATGCAGCTTTATTTTTTTATTTACATATGTATAGTGGATTATTTGTATTGCTGTGTTGCTGCTGTCTCTGAAGAAACATAAAGACACACATACAGGCAGAGGGAGGGAGGGAGGGAGGGATTCCAGTCATCACATGATGCTTGTTTCAATGTAACACTACACACAGCATATACTGTACTGGCGCTATGAAGTGATGTGCAGATTGTTCCTGCTCAGGTTGTCTATTTTGTATACGTTACATGATTTTGTATTTGTCACCAGACTGTAGTAGTAGCGGTAGAAAGAGGAGTGTTTGAGTGGCTGCAGCTGGGGTTGTGCTGTGAGTCGACTTGCAGAGACACTGTTCCCACCAGGGGCAACTGTGAGACTTCAAAAGCAGAAGCTTGTGTGGAAGGCTAGGGGCAGGGTCTCCTCTGCTTACTCTCTTGTTTGAAAATGGTATGCATGTTAAAAAAAAGAAGAAAAAAAGCCTTTTCACACACTTTAAGCTGAAAATGTTTTGTTTGTGGCTGTAGGCTTGTACCAGCTGCTTTCTGATCTGGCCAAAGAGCCCTACAGTTCACTGACTCATTTAAAAGGAGCTCTCAGTCAGCTCCTCATACAGCTGTTTGTGAACTTTATTTCTCTTCATTCTTTTTCTCATGTGCAAGCTTCCCCAAGTATGGTCAGTGTGGTCAGAAGATGAATAAGAACAATTTACAGTGAAGGAAATAATAATTTGATCCCCTGCAGATTTTGTAAGTAACTTACAAAGAAATGAACAGTCTGTCATTGTAATGGTAGGTTTATTTGAATAGAGTAAGAATATCAAAAAGAACATCCAGAAATGGACATTATATGAAAGATACAAATATATTTGCATTTGACTTTAGGAAATAAGTATTTGATCCCCTTGCAGAACATGTGTTAGTACTTGGTGGAGAAACCCTTGTTGGACACACAGAGGTCAGACCCTTCTTGAAGCTGGTCTCCAGGTACGCACATCTCAGGAAGGATGTTGGTCCACTCCTCTCTGAAGACCCTCTCCAAACCCTTCAGGTTTTGAGGCTGATGCTTGGCCTCTGGAAGCTTCAGCTCCCTCCACAGATGTTCTATGGGATTAAGGTCCGGAGACTGGCTAGGCCCCTCCCTCACCTGAATGTGCTTCTTCTTTAGCCCCTCCTGTGTTGCCTTGGCCGTATGTTCTGGGTCATTGTCCTGCTGGAAGACCCCTCCATGACCCATGTTCAGAGTCCTGGCTGAGGGAAGGAGGCTATCGGCCAAGATGTTAGGGTACATGGCCCCGTCCATCGTCTCCTTGATGCAGGGAAGTGGTCCTGTCCCCTTAGCAGAGAAACACCCCAAAGCAGAATGTTTCCACCTCCATGCTGACGGATGGTGTTCTGGGGTGATACTCAGCATCTCTCTTCCTCCAACACGGCGTGTCCAGTTGATGCCAAAGATCTCGATGTTGGTCTCATCTGACCACATCCTCTTCTCCCAAGCCTTCTCTGAATATTCAGATGTTCGTTGTCAAACTTCAGACGACCTCTCATGTTGTTCTTGAGCAGGGGGCCTTCAGGCGCTGCAGGGTTTGATCCATTATGGTGTAGTGTGTTACCAACAGTGTTGTGCTAGTTACTGAAAACCAGTAACTAGTTACCATTACTAGTTACTTCATTTGAAAAGTAACTCAGTTACTTTACTGATTACTTACACCAAAAAGTAATGCGTTAACGTTTTAGTTACTTAGAAAAAGGTCTCCCATTAATGCCCTTATAGCCTTCATTTCAGTACTGTTATTGCATTGGAGAATAATACAATCTGTCGATCAACTTGACATGCATTATATGCAATCTGGATTGCATCGATATTAGCTGGCTTTCCATTTTTGTATATTCTTTCTCCAGGTAGTTGGAAAAAGTGTTCCGTCCCATATGCCGTGTGCCGCCCGGACATGCTATCATGCTAACTAGCTCCCTGAAAGCGGGTGACTCCACTGTAGCAATAGCCTGCATGTGTTCTACAACATACCGTGCAATGGCTTTATCGACTTTTTCCTGGCTAGCAGTCCCTTGGTTAAAATCCAGCCGCTGTTGCTTAGGTGGAGGTGGAGTGGCGTCGGCTGAGTCTCTGTGGTCTTAGCTACTAGCTTCGTCCCAGCATGTTGTTTTTGCAGATGTTTTAAGAGATTTGAATTACTGGTTTGGGCAGTAGATAGGATCTTTGACCCGCCAGGACACAACTTACATTTAACTAAAACGTTCTTTTCTTTGTGCTCGACAAAAGTGAAATAGTGAGAATATCTCCAGGTGGAGAAACTAGACTTGAGCTCCGCCGCCGCCATGATAGTCTTGTTAGTAAACAACACAAACACGCCCACAGCGCGTCTCCGCATGTGACACAGGAAGTATCTAAGTACATTTACTCAAGTACTGTACTTAAGTACAGTTCTCATCTCTGTTCGCCTGGCTGTTGACTATATACAAAAACTAACGCAGTAACGGAGTAACGCACCATGTAGTAACGGTAACTGAGTTACTACATTTAAAAATGTATGCGTTAGAGTACTAGTTACTACTAAAAATAACGGCGTTACAGTAACGCGTTACAATGTAACGTGTTAGTCCCAACACTGGTTACCAATAGTGTTCTTGGTGACTGTGGTCCCAGCTTCCTTGAGATCATTAACTTTTAAGCCCGAGAGGACCCTAATCCGGGTCTGGCCGGTAGTTTTTTCACGAAACTGTGTCTCAGGGCTTCTTAATATTTAAAAACCTATTAACCTGTTAAGCCCTGAGCCTGTTTTTCAGGTCTCAGGCTCGAAAAGGACATTCCCAGAACAAATGACCATATCTTCCCTTCTAAAAGGGTTAAATTAATAATATTTTTTCTCAAAGCAAGGTTACACCTGTGAGTTGGATGTAGAAGTGTCAGAATCAATATAGATATTTTTATTTTAAAGTAAATTCAGATTTTCAATTGAAAAGTATAGTGTCCGTCCAAAGATAAAACATTATTTATAGTGAAAACCACCCTTGAATGATGGGTTAGTAGACTAAAAGCTTTAGGAATTCCAACTTTAACATATAATAAGTACCCTGTATCGAGATTGATGCAAAACAAGTGACATTTAACCTTTTTTCTTTAGATTTTGAAAAAAAAACACTTCTGGGGTCATTTGGGTGCATTTTCCATATCTCTGGCCCCCCTCGTTCGATTTTGATGATTGGCACCTCTTTTTAACCATTAGAGCCAATAGAATCGAGGGGAAGTTCCTAAAATCCATCTAAACATTACCCATTGGTGAACAGTGTTGGGCAAGTTACTTCCAAAATGTAATATATTACATATTACTTATTACTGTCTTTTGAAAGTAATAAGTTACATTACAATATTACTGTCTCTGAAATGTAATGAGTTACACTACTTTAGTTACTTTTTTAGTTACTTTCACCAAAATAACCACAAAAGAATGGCTAGGTGTTTGAAATGCTAACATGTAGTTTAGTGCAGCTCATTCTACATCCAGTGAAGGGCAATGTGGTATAGCATAACAACTGTGTAGGCCCTTAAGGCTACTAACAACTTGTATTACACGGCTTAGTTGAATACTCGACTCTGATTGTAGCTTCTTAACATGTGATACGTTGTTAATCCAGCAGTACAGACTGTCAAGGACTATAATGAAGGTTGCTAAGGAGGATCCAGAAAGAGAAAGGAA